CTGGAGTTGCTTGTCAATTTCAGTGGCTATTGTGTCCGATATATGAGGTGGATGGGATATATTTTCTTCTATATACATCGCTCCTAGGGTTTCTTGAGATGGGCTGGAGGTTTGAGGTTGTAATTTGGTCTTTCGTTTTGTCATTTTCCTATATTTCTGTGTTTCAAGTGTTATTTGAAAGCTTCCTCAGGATCTGTTGAAAATCCCCTTCTATGTTTGGAGCTACTGGGACTCTGGCGCCACGCTACTCCAAGCCATTAGGCCTACAGAACCAGTGGCCCTCCTCTGCCTGCTCAGAACTCCGCAGTTCCAGACAAGCTGGGCCTCAGGGACACTGTGCGCCCACCTGCCCCTTGGAAGCTCCACAGTTCTTCAATCGCAGCCGGGTTAGGGTACTCACCACTGGCCGCAGTGCTTCAGGAACCTGTGGACCCTCCCTGGTTGCAGAGATATCCACAGTCCTCCAGACACGCAGAGAGGCCAGTGAGGGCACCCCAGATCTGCCCAGCTCCTCCTCTGCAGACCTGTGGTTTTCTGGGAGCCTCGGAACGCAGCCCACGCAGTTTGGCAGAGTTGCTACTGAAGGTCTAGGAGTGGATTTTACTGTCTTAGACCACCAGGTAGCTTTACGGGAGAAAGTAACATGCGAATACTTCTGGTTGTAGATGATCATCAAAGCTGCTTTGTGGAGAGCAGGCGCATAGGAGATTGGCAGAGGCCAAGCAGTTATCTAGGCAAGAGGTGTTGGTTGTTGGTTATGGTAGCAGATGTAGAAATGAAAAGAAGAGATTAAATTTGACACAGATAAAAAGATGGTTTTAGTATTTCTAGAGTGAGCAGTAGAGCACTTGTCATTGTGTTATACTTTTTAGTTTTGTGAATGTAGTTTTCAAATTAAGTATTTATTCATGCTTAGTAATATTTTACCATTAGATTCAACTACTTCCTCCAAATCTCCCTAGCTTGGCCTCTCCAATTCTTCCAAAAGGTAAGTATGCTTTTATGGACAACATTTTGAAGCATTTAAAACAAAAAATCCAATAGGCCTATTTTTAAATTTCATTTGCAGCAGTTAGTGGTCCTGAGGTGTTTACCAAATTGTTAAATTTCCTGAGTTTTAATTTTGTTATCTGAAAATGGGAATAATAATAATAGTTATCTCACAATTATTTCAGGGCATTTAGAATGTAATGTGTGCACACAGCCAGCCTGCAGATACATGCCAAGTTCTCAATACTCACCAATTACTATTCCCCTCAACACCTCTTCCAGCTTGGAGCAGATGCCTTATCTTATAGTGCAACCTTTAAGTCACATAAATGTCTTTCTTGACTTGTGTATTCATCCAACACCCATGGAATTTTAAGAAATGTAATTTTAAAATTTCAATTTTTAATGTAGCATAAGATTTTTGACATAGGATAAGCTACACGTATTTGAAGTTTATAATTTGAATTTTTACACAAGTGTATGCCTATGAAACAACCCAGATAAAAATATGTATGTTATATCCACGTTTCCCTTGTGCTCCTCTGTGCCCCTTTCCTGCTCCTCGCTGTGCCCCCAACCCAGTTCCCAGGCATCTACTGACCTGCTTTTGCCATTAGAGGTTGGTTTTCATTTTCTATGAATGAAATCATACAGTCTGTACTTGGGTTGTTTAAGTTTCATTCACTCAGTAGCCCATTCCTTTTAATTGCTAAGTAGTATTTTATAACATGGATATACTACAATTTTATATTCATAGCTGCAGATAGACATCTGTTTTTCTTTTCTTTTTTCCCCAGTTTTTGACTTTTACAAGTAAAGCTGCCATGAACAGTTCTGTGTAAGTGTTGTGGAAGTCTTAATCCATTTTTCCTGCTGCCACAGAACACCAGAATCTGGCTAATAATAAAGAATGGAGTCTTTCTCACTATTCTGGAGGCAAAGGTCAAAGGTCTGGGAAGGGTAATTGTCTTCTTCTGAGAAGGATTCTTGGATGCTGCAGCCACCATTGTGAGGAGCACTCTGTCCTCACACAGTCTGGAGGCCAATGGAAGAGAAAGGATCAGTCCCCTTCCTGCAGTCTTTCACAATGACGATAACCTAACTCAAATGGGCTGATGTTGGATATTCATGACCTCAACTTTTCCTCAGAGGCCCTTCCCTCCAGGTACTGCTGAAAAGGGTGACAAGTTTCTAATGTACGAGTTTAGGGTGGATATAATTAGACATAGCATGTGAGCAGAGCTTGCACTTCTCTTGAGTAAACACCTAGAAGTTAAATATGGTTAAATATTTAAGTAACTTCCAAGCTGTTTCCCAAAGTGCCTGCATCATCTCGCGTGTCCACCAGCAGTGTTTGCGAGTTCAGTTGTGCCCACACTCAGTATGGTCAGCTTTCCTGTGTTAGCCACACTGATGGGTGGACAGTGCTTTCCCATTGTACTTCTTTTCCAGACCTTCTTCTGTAATGGCTAGGGATGTTCTTAGCACCTTTTCATCTGCTTCCTTCTGTCTCAGATATCTTAAAATCATAAATCGCCTTCAAGAATTAACCTTTTAACTAAGTTATGTAGAAATACTATAGACAGTCAGACAGGGTTAGGCCCTTGAAGGAGCCAGTGCTGGAGATGGGATACACAGTAACTGTAGGGGGTGTCACAGACACCTCTGCTGAGGGTGGAACCTCAAGACAAACAGTGAAAGAAACGCACACACAGACTTCCCTATGGATGAGCAACAGCAGCTGATACTCTAAATAGGTATGAGTCACCCTGAAGAAGCCAAGAAGAACCACTACCCACCCCTCCAGGAAAAGCCCCTGTTCTGAAGTTTCACAGCCACTTCTAAGTGATTTGTGTCCCCATTTAATCAATATCACCTGAGCAGTTATGATGTAATGTCATTGGTCAACCATAGTGCTGGCCCATCTCTTGCCCATTTTGTGACTTCCCATTTCCCCCAACCTGAACCTGCCTCACCTTGTGGGTTTGCTTTGTAAAAATCCTTAGAAAAGACAGAGTCCCTGGCCACTTGCTCAGGACTCTTCCTGTTTCTGTCTCAGTGAGAAGCTTTCTTTCCCCAATAAATATATCCTGATCTTGAAAAAGAATTAATTAACTTTTTTATATTTTCATAAATAAACACAAGAAAGGAGATGGGTAGGTCGATAGATGGATGGATGAGTAGTTAGAAGAAAGAAGTTTAAGTTCCTATCATGTGCCAGGCAGGATTCTAGGCTCCAAGAGTAGCATGCTGAGTAAGGAAAGTCCCTTTTTGTAGAGCATTTCTGTCCCTGTGAGGGAGACAGGAAATAGACTGACAAGAAGGTTAGGTATACATACTTACTGCGAAGGAAGTTAAGGCAGTATCAGGTGTCAGAGAGTGAAGTGATGGGGCAGGGGTAGGGAAATACTTTGGGATGACTACAGGATATCATGTTTGTTACCCCCACTGCATTGTGAGGTCCTGAAAGGCCCTTATGGCATGCTCTGTGCAGTAATTTTTTACCATGGATTAGGCTCAGTGCCTACCTCTTAATTGATTACTCATATCACCATCTTCTCCACAAAGTGGGCATCTTAGTCTGGTGAAATGAAATACTGTAAACTGGATGATACATAAAAAGCAAAAATTTATTTTTTACTGTTCTGGATGCTAGTAAGGCCGTAATCAAAAAGCCAGCTGCATAGGTGTGTGCTGAGAGCCCACTTTCTGGTTAACTGGCAGTGGCTGCTTGTCCTGTGTGTTGAAAATGAGAGCTAACTCTGGAAGGCCCCTTTATTAGGACACTAGTTTCCCGTGATCTAACCATCTCCCAGTGATGCCACCACCTATTGCCATTGTGCTGGGGATTAAATTCTAGCAGCTGAATTCTGAGGGAGAAGCCTGCATTCACACTGTAGTGGCAGGGCTTTTCCTTTCTGTCTTGGTTACTGCTTGATATCCAGCAAATACCTCAGAGCCAGGACTGTGGGATGCAGGTGTTTAATAACTGTCAGTTTGGTAAGTGAATGGAGGAAGAGAGGAATTCATGATACGTACGAAAAATGTGATCTATGAAGAACTCAGTACCAGCACTGAGACAATAAGCCAGAATGGCCACTACTATCCCTGCCTATCACCTCCTTCCTGCTATTGGCAGACAATGGCTTTGCGCATACTAAGGTGCCCTCTCAGGTAACCTTGAGTATCAGTAAGCTTTCCGTCACTGACAAAATGCCTAAGGAAGTCAACATGTGGAGGAAAACTTTATTTTTGATCACAGATTCGGAAGTTTCAGTACATGATTACGTGAATCTGTTGCTTCTGAGTTTGAGACGAGGCAGAATGGCGGGAAAACGCGGGCCAACTACCAACTTGTGGTAGCTGAGTAACACAGAGAAGGAGCACAGAGAAAAGATGGAGACAGATCCAGCCCCAATGCCACACCCCCACCATCTACTCCATTCAGCCAGACCCTAACTCTGTTTTCTGTCTTTCCCAGTAATGCTGTCAGTTTGTGATCTCACCAAAGAGTTAATCAGCTTCTTAAAGCCTCGACTCTCAACACTTGAGTCTTTTAAGAATAGACAAAACCATAGTACATTGCCTCCACCATAGAATTACCTGGTTCTAGGTCACATCAATGACTCAAGGCCTTATATTCAGGGCCTTACTAGCATTTATCCCATTCTGCATCATCAGGGATGTGGGAATCTTGTTTCTTGATAGAAAGATGTAACCTTATTAACTCTGGCCATCTCAGTCTCTGTTTCCTGTCGCAGACACAGGAACTCAGTAAATATTTATTATATTAAATTGAATCCTAAATGCCTCTAAATGTTTCAAGATGTTAGTGAATATCCTTCACCACTTCCAAAGGCAGAACAAAGGCAGTACTCTGTATTTCTAAAGAATGAGTGATTGAAGTTAGACTTGAAGAGACTTTTTTTTGAACATCCAAGTAATTAAAATAAATCCAGACATATTATATCATTCTTGCTAATTTTTGCCAACAGAAGACATTTTCAATCTGAAATGATTTTTGAATTTATTCAGAGAAGAGACAGAAGCATACATAGGATAACCTTTAAAAGTTGTTTGGGAAGTGTAAAAATGTGCCACTTGGTCTCATTTGTATGTGGCATCCTCAGTGAGTCCAATTTCCATCCTCAGGAGCTAAGCCCCGGCAACTTCTGAGGTGTTTCTGGGGAAATGCAGCCCCTGACTCCCTAGAGCCAAAGTTTGCAGCTGACATGGAGCTCAGGAACAGCTATTGTGTGGAAGGAAAGATATAGCCAGAGAGTTACTTCTTCCTTGTTAGGACAAAATACTCGACAACCATAAGTTAAATGAGGAAAGGTTTATTTTATCTCACAGTCAGTAGAGGCTTCAGTCCATAGTCAGCTTACTCCAAGGCAGGTGATATAGCAGAGGGACATCACAGAGGAGAAACAGTCCATGGCAGGGCAGGCAGGAAGCAGCAAACAGCAGCATTCAGCCTCTCTTTCCTTTTTATACCATCCAGAATGCAACCTACACCCAGGGAGGGCCTTCTTATTATCCATATCCAGAGTCATGCTAAGCCAATTAGTGGACTAATGTAGTTATCAGACCTTTAATCTATATTCATAAACCCTAAATCCAGCACTCTAAAAAGCCTTACCAATGAGTACATAAGGCTTTGGGTGGAGGCATCTAGGTATAAGCTACAACAAACGGTGTACGCGTGTATGTGTGTGCAGACTAGAGTTCCCTGGAGGATCCTGAGCAAAGCCACCAGCCAAGGTATCTTACTTCCCTCAGAACCTGTGTTGCACAGTGCAGAGGAGGTTTATGGTAACCCTGCCCTGCACTGTAAAGTTTATTTCTGCACATTAGCCAGCCCATTGTTCCCTGCTCCAGGTCCTCTTTCATCTTCTTTACGTGGACTTGTCATGTTCCTCTTCTAAACACATGCCAACTGGGGCAGGACAGGGCTGGAGGTGGAGCTGCTTGTAGATCAGCACCTTAATAAAGACAGCAATGATGGGGCAGCCTCTACTCCCTGGTATGTTTTATTCATTATCTGCTATGCTATGAGAATCTAAATAATCTCAGCTCCCCTGCCTGCGAGCTGGCACTGGGTTGTGGTGAACTATTGTGGATAACTGCAGACAAAATGAAGATCTTCAGGCTGGATGGCAGGGTGGACAAAAGAGGAATCGTCTTTGTGTTTACATTTTTACTTTTAGGAGGAGATGTGTTCCTTCTCAGGTAATAATTCCTTAGTCTGAGGGAAATATTTTAATGTAATAGGGAGATAAAAGACAGAGAGGAAAAAAATATGATGCAATAGTCTCATCTATAAGATGGAGATAAAATGCCATTTTATTCATGAGTATTTTGAGGATTGAATGAGAAAATCCACATAAAGAACTCAACCCAGAACCCAGCACCTCAAAAGTGAGCAGCAAAATTTCCATCACCCGATGTCCTTGTTAGGTCCAACTTCCTGGGAAGTATATGGACATGGACAGTGGGAGAAAGAGATGAAAGAGGCCAAAAGGAGACAACTGGGCTGGGGTTATAGCTCAGTGGCACAAGCTCCTGCCTGGCAAGCACAAGGGCCTGAATTCGATTCCCAGTAAAAAACACAAACAAACAAACAAACAAACTAACTAACTAACAAAAAGCCCCAAGGTCTAGGACCAACAAAACAAGACAATGCACAGCCCACTTCTTGCTGAGAGACAATATAAAGCAATGGAAGGAAGCACCATTGCTGAGTGTTGAATCAGTCCAGTGTGTTTTGGGAGTGAAAGGGACATCAAGGGTCCCCAGCAGAGGGGACGCTCTGTCCATACCGCTGCTTTTTCTTCTAGCTTTCCTCAATGACTTGTTCCCACAAGCAGAGACTTTTGGTCAGAAAATAATTCCTGCTTCATTCACAACTAGGTTCAAATTCCACCACTAGAAATTTTCTTCCAGGTAGACCAGTCTTGATTTTCAGTTCTAGTTGTGGTTCTTATTAAGTTCATGGCCTTGAAGGTGTGATGACCACAGAGGCTCATTTGGAGATAGATGCTAATACCACATCACAGGGGTTTTAGATGGTCCTCTGAGGTAATACTGGGAGAGAAATTAATGTCCAGTGGTGCTTAGTAACAGGTACCATTGGTAGGGTCTGCGAATCACATCTTACCTACAGGTAAAGCAAGTGTGCTGACTACAATTTATGGATTGTTTCCTAACAGGAAAAATACATCCCTCCATCCAAAAGTTGTAGAGTGTGCCACAAATAAAAGATATATGCAACCCAAAGAAGGCAGGCCTTGTTTCTTTATACCTCTGGGAAGATTGGTTCCCATTACTGGCAATCATTTTATTGTCTCTTTACTACATGAAAGAAATTCTTACCAAATCATTATATGACCCCCAGCATCCCCAACTGATTATATACGCTCCACACTCCTGGCTGGAGTGTGACCTTTACTGAACTCTCTGGGGAGGCACCACACCCCACTTTCACACTTGTGGTACTCAGTCTGGGTTTTCAGATCCCTCCTTCATTGGCAACAGCCACACTGAGGAGCAGGGATGGCAGATGTGGGCCTCTCCTGAGACGGGTTTGCTTTGGCCTTTATTGGACTGATATTTGGCACAATGCTTCTGCTCTAGAGATTGAAAAACTTGAAGCTTGTGGGTTAGAAACGAGTAGGTCAAAACTCTAATGAGAAAATAACACAGAAAGACAGTGAATTTCAGACTGTTTCCAAACTGCAATAGAATTTTGTTTTTTTGAAATATGAAAGAGTTGATGTTTATTGTTCTAAAGCAAACAGTACAGTTCAATATAAAAATAGCTGGGATCTATGTGCCAAGCACCAGCACTCAGAACTTGCGTTACTCTGAAGAATAATTATGATTGCATAAACTACCCTTTATTCTGCTCCCATTGGATATCAGTTTTTAATGTCTTAATTTCATCGAATTAAAATGCGTGGTGTGCTGGCCTCATTGATGCATACTGAGAAAGCCTGTTGAGACCCAGGCAGAAGGTGAGCAGTTCTGTCTGCCGGCACAGATTAAACCCAGTTTCCTCTTAAAATACCTTATGTTCTCTCCTGCAGAGCCTCCTAGGCCTCAGGATGCTCTGTCTGTCCTTCCTGTGTCTGTCTGTGCTCATACCCAGTCCAGGGCCAAGCCTGTGCAGAGACAGCAACCTCTCAGCTGGTCTGGAGCACTCACAGACTCCACCTTGCCTGTCCCCTCTTGGAGTGTACCACATACTGACCTCTGAACGAGCCTCTAGCCTGCTGAGTGTGTCCTGTCTACTTTATTAACCACTCCCTAGTTTCAGATCCTTTGAGTTTTCCCCCGCTATTCTGTCCAGTGCTGGTTTCCTGCCTTTCCCGAGAAAAGCCCTGGTCTGTGGCATCTGCTGCTCATCCTGCATTAGATCCCTCTACTGCCAAAAGCTGCTTCTCAGAGTTTTTAATCTTTTTTATTCTGACGATGAGAAAAGGGAAAATTTGAGTTTGGCCCTATTTTATAAATAGCTAAAATAAATTCCAAAGCAGCAGGTCAATCAAATCAGCTTGGAAACCATGCCCATGGCCACTGAACTCATTCTCGCTCTCTAATTTACTAACACTCCCAAGATTTGGGCAGTTATGACATAGGAGGTGAAATGCCAGGCAGGGCAAAGCCCCTGCCAAATTCCTACCCATCCTCGGCCCTCGGGCTTGACTCGAATGGTAAAGAGGTGATTCTTGTGTGTGAAGCAAGGCCAGAAATTCTTAGTCTCACAGTTGTGAAAGACAGAAGTGCAAGATCAATGTGTCCACAAGGCACCCTGGAAAACTACAGGAGAATCATTCCCTGTCCCTGCCTAGCTCCTGGTTTCACTGCAATATTGGTTGTCTCTTGGCTTGTAGATGCCCCCAGCACACTCCTTCCTTGTCAAAGGGCAGACTTCTTGTACCAACAGCCTGAGAAGCACACTCTCATTTGGGTTGGTACCCACCTTCATGCAGAATGTTCTCATCTTAATTGATTTCATCTTTAGCGACCTGATTTCCACAAAAGGCAGTATGTTAAATTACAGGAACTCAGGACTACAAAAAAACCATTTTTGCCAAAACACAACTCAACCCGTAACAAATGAGCCCATAATCTTGTTAAAAGTTGAATTTCCTATTTGAAGAGGAGAAGATCCACAGAGGGCAAAAGGATAAATTTCTTAAATTGCATACCTCAGATTTGCATCCAAAAGCTGACATCCTGTCTCCTGGCCCCCACCTCACTGTGCAGGAGATGCTTATGAGAACCAGCTTTTAGTCTCTGCAGTAATACTCGGATGGCAGCAGGGCTGTGCCACACGCACAATGAAGAGAGGGGCACACGTGTTGCACTTACCGCTTTGCTTTTGCAAAAAGCCCTCTGTCCAAAACTCTTCTTGTTGCTGACCTAAGTCTTGTTCCTCAAATTTCTAGCTATAAAGGCTAAGACTTGGGTTCAGTTCTTAGATCTGCACTAGCTGAAATATAACTTCAAGCTTGACAAAGACACCTAGAACATGAATGGATTTGATGGAATGTCAACATTTTTCTTCTTTCATGCAGAGCAGACTTCTCCTGCATTCCTGCCAGCAGCCTTTTACTTACGCTTTGACTGTAGTGGCACAAAAGCACATCATTTCCTCACTGATGGCCAGCATCAATCATTAAAATATTCTCCCAACATGGAAGGAAACACTAACCCCCAATTTCAGCCTTCCTTTGGTTTATCTAACACTAGCACCTGGGGCAAACCTAAACAAGACCGAAGTCCTCTTCTCATCTCTGGGGCTTCTGAGGACAACCTCACAATTCTCCACTATGGAAAGGAGAGCGCCGGTCCTGTCTGCTGGCATGTTCTCTTTCAACCTGGCCTGCCACACTCTCTCTCTCTGTCTTTGTCTGTTTCTCTCTGTCTCTCTGTCTCTGTCTCTGTCTCTGTCTCTTTCTCTCTCTTCATTTCTTTATTTTATGTAATTTTCTAGAAGTCTTTGTTAAAAAGAAAGTAGTAATATGTAGGAGTGACCTGTCACAAGTTTCGCAAGTGGTCATCAGTTCAGTTGCTCCAATCCTTTACTCTCATTCTTCTTTAGAATCATTTTTCTTGTGTTTTGCAACATAAATTATAGTCTGATTTCCAGAACTTCAGCTTTTCCAATCTCAGTAACGAACATCTTTGTCTGTCCCACCTGTTTTCAGCATTGCAAGTGGGGTGAAACTGCCACCAAAAAGCAATGTAGAAATCATATCAATAACATTTTTTTTTACTGACTTGTGGTCTTTAGAAAGAGGGCATGATGTACAGAGAACAGTGCTTGCCTTAAAAGCTCTGGGATGTTGAATCCCAATTCTCTTAGAAGTGATCTTGGAGAGAATTTCCTGAATTTAAAGGTTTTCCTTTATTTTTGGATCTCATCTCTCCCTTCACAGGGTAGCTGGAAATATTTCTTTCCATGGGCCCCCACGATGTGTCTTTGTTCTCCTAAAGTCCCCTGAAATACATTATGCTTCTGCTTAATTCCAAGAGATTGATGTTCCTTCTCCCTCAGTCAGTTCTGTCTGCATCTCTCAGGTTTCAGACATCAAAACAAAGACTCCTTCCTCATAGCCCTCGCAGAATCTCGTGTCTTGGTGCACAATAACATGTGTTCAGGGAGTGAACGATACATCCCTTCTCATTATTTTGTTTGTGTTATTCTTAGCTTCTTGTCTACTTACCCTCCCACCCCAATCCATTCAAACTGAATCATAAGCAGCTGAAAGTGAGATCTGATACTTTATAAGCTTTAGAAGAAGTAGGGTCCTTGGGGAATGCTAAGTACCCCAGAGTAAGACAGCAAACACTGTTGATGGATGATCAGAGAGTGAAAGGATCAATCAGTGCCACGCAAGCCTGGAATCCATACACTGGCCATGTACTTATAAATCCATTTTTAAAAACAGGATTTGACTCATCTTGCTGCTTCCTCTAGCACGGTCCTGCAGTCGATGCTCAGGTCATGGAAATACTTCACGTAGCTGCGACAGCACGCACATTCCTTATGAGCTCTGGTGACTCGGGTTGTACCTTGAAATTGCAAAAGTGAAGGTTTGTTTAATGATTTTTAATTAATTTTAATTACTTGCATTTTTTTTGAATGGTGGCTTAGCATTCTGAATCCCAGCCCATCAGATCACTCTGGGCTGCCTGCCAATTTCCTCATTATATACTCGCTCCCCTAACACTATTTGATAATGAAAGGCTTTAAGCAAACCCCCAAATATTCAAGCTCTAATAGGGAACCCTTGGGAGACAGCAGTAGATTATGGTGTGGGGTATGGATAGCATAGCTCATTGCACCTGAATTGAGGAAAAGGAATTTTTCAGCTAGAGACCATCCTCTTGTGGGCGGTGCTGCAGAATTCCTTCTCCCTTTACCCTTTCTTTACACATTCATGCCCTAATCCTAATGCAGTCTTCACTGATGCCTATAATGAGGAGATATTAGGTCTCAAACAGTCCTAAAGTAACCAAATGGCAGTTTGCCTAAAGGTTGAAATGTCGTTTCATTTTGATGACTGTATAAGAAATAAATCAGAGGAAAAAGAGAAGTGGGGTATACTTACTCTGCAGTGGAGAGGGTATAGATGAGGTATTGCTTGTTTTTTGACTGTGAGACACCAAGGATCTCAGGCTTCTAATAAACCTGAGGCTCCCTTGAGGTAGAGAATGTAGCATTTCAGAAAACACCCACAAACCAGCAAGAAACGCTCTCCAGCTGTGGGGGCAGGGCAAATCATTTGGCTCCCAGAAATCAGTTTCCTCTCTTCTACAATTACCCCCAATTTACTGACCAGGCTGAAAACTCAGTACCATTCTTGGCGCATATTAGATCCTTAAAAACACTAAAGCTCCTCCTTTATCTTGTTTCAAAAATATGGACAGGTTTTTTTTTTTTATTACTATTATGTAATGACAGTACTTCCTAGATGCAGGAGATGATAAACTGATCCCTGGAATCACTTATAGTGCTAAAATATTATAAAGCTAAGACAATTTAACAGTCATTTGTGTCTCTGTCGTGACCCTATTTATGCAGAAAAGCAGTAGTAGAAGAAAGATTTCCATGATGCCTTGGTCCCATAGGTGGTAACCTGCACCCTATTTTCCTGGGGACCTTGAGGATATAAATAAGTCTTGTTCAGAAAAGCCTGTGCTAGTGAGGTAGCCTGAACCAGCTCCCAGTTTTGTGTATCATGGGCTTGTGCAAGATGAGGCAGCCACAAAGCTATATTCAGCTTCTGCCTGCCACTGAGATTCTCAACTTAGTACCAGAGTTGAATGGAGAAGGTGCCAGATCCCAGTCTTTCTGCAGTGATGGGGCTCACAGAGTACCGTGTCTCCGAGACATAGCCAAGGGATTTAGAAACAGTGCTCTCTGAGGTGGCAGCTGAATTTGACTCTGAACCAGGATACTCATCCAAGACATTTACGAGTCATCACCTAAGATATTTCCATTTTCCTCTCTCTTTCTCTGCCTGCTTCTTTTTTTGAACTGGCTGCTTTGCCATTTTCCGTATTTTGCCATGTGAAGTTTCAGTTGGGAGTTTTGAAATGGAAATTAGTTTAGGTAATTTGAAATTAGTATCAAGGAAGAGGAATTTTAAGGACTATATGTGTTAACCAAAGTCAAGGATGTTTGATTTCAGCCACCTTCCATTTCTGGTCCAACTCCTTTCCAACAGATTTAAGCAGATGTGATAGAAGCTGCCTTCCAGGGACATGAGGAGCAAAGGTGAAATCAGAGAGGTGAATCAAGGGGGAAGCAGCAGATCTCTCTTCTGTCCACAGCCCGTGCATAATGCATGGCCCAGAGATTATATACAATCTCTTATTCATGAACCTTTAACCAGATGGCTTATTACTGTTGGTCAATTGCAAGGAGATGATTCCCTCTGCCTTCTCCCCTCCCTCTCCCAGAGCCAAGGACACAATGAAAAGCTCTGACATTCGCCAACCCTTAAAAAAAGCAAGTCCTCAGCTCCTTTCAACTCCTTACCTGGGAACCTTTGCTGAGTGATGCTGTTGCCTCCTGGCTGGAGTGTGGAGGACGAGCGCGAAAAGGATCAGTGAAGAGGGGGACAGAAAGGTGCACTTGGAGGACCGAAGTCTATTTGCTTTCTCCCTCTTGGCAGTTGACAGTAAATGAAAAATGAGCAAGGACCTTTCGTTAAACAGGCTTCAATTCTCCTTGCAGCTCCATGTCTCCTGTGTCCTCATCCTCACCAGGAGTTGACCCAAGTGTCTGCAACTTTGAGATGAATCATAGTTGGTATTTGAAGGAGGAGCTTAGAGAAGCACCCGAGTCTCTCTGCTCCCCAAGCAGCCAGAGCAGGAGAAACAAGGAAATGTGAAAAGTGCTGGGATAGTGGACTGGATGGTGAAGTCCAAGGACGGGACTTCTCACCCTGGGGAGGGGCTCACGCCCACAGAGGTCCCACTGAGTGTCTGGTCAGAGGACACCAAGCGTCACCCACTTTCTTGCCCTATTACTTTACAAAACCAGCACCAACCTGGCAGTTTGGATCACTTTCATTCCCCTGTCCTTCTGTTCAAAGGCCCAGGACTATATTTGCATTTTACGCAACAGAGGAAAAGCTAAAAATGTATGGCTCCCGCCTTTGCAATTTAGTAAATTTTCATCTGTGACAGCCATTCCAAGCTGCTTTTAGGAATGCTCCAAAGGCCCTCAACACCAGTGAGCAGAGAACAATGCTTCTCCAAGGTTGCTTGCGCCTCTCTCCTGATGGCTCCTATGTGCGTTTTCAGTGCTGTGTGCCATGGTGCTCCCCACTTTGCCAGTCTCAGGAAGTCTGTGATGAATTGGCGGTGTCTCCCTCCAGCCCCAGGGGCTCACTTTCATTTCTTCATCCACTGGGTTTGTTCTTTTTCCTTCTCTCTCGCTCTTTCTGTTTTCCCCTCTTTTACTTAAATAAAAAATACATGACGAAAAGCGCTGTCAATGAGAGAGGCGGTGAGGAACCAGAGCAGACTTCAGCGCCTAGGTGAGTAATGATGGAATTGAACAGCTGCCCAGGAACCTCAGCAGGGCTGTGAGTCATGGAAACCAGGGGAATACAATGGAGAGCCCTGTGCGGAGCATCCTCCTTCCACCTCTTTCTTTCCTTCTTATCCAGCTCCCCTGGGGCTGCAGGAGCTGGGATGAATAAGCCTTTCACAGAATGAAAAGCCAAGAAAGCCTCACAGTTGCCAGTGTCTGGTAGGCAGCAGCCTAGGCAGTGCGGTGCTCAGTTAATTAAGTGATGAAGCCATACCTGACTCCTCACGCCACGCTGAGGGAGAGACAGAGATACAGAGGGAGATACAGAGAGAGTCTGGGTTCCAGTCCTGCTGGTCCTAACAACTTTGCAGCCCGTACCCACTTCCTGGCTCATCTGCCCTGCTTGGAGGCAGGATGGAAAGCAATCCCTGTGAGCCTGCCCGCCCCCAAGCCACAGAAGCTGCTCTGGGGACCTCTTTCCCTGCGCTGTGGCTGAGCCTGATGTGTGGAAACAGCCCAGAAGAGGAATGGGGGTCCCCCGTACTAGTCTCCCCTTGACTTAACCTCTAGCTCAGATTTAGTTTCCCTTCTCTAGTTCACCAACTGCAAGGCTACTGGAAGGATCATCACAGAAGTGTGTGCTTGATAAACTCGAAGAGGTGCTGTCATTACCTGGTGACTGTTTCTAACTGTTCTGAACGTTTTCAGAGAAAGGCATGCTAGAGGTCATGAGATCAGGAGAGATATCCAGATGGAAGAGAGAGGGGTACTTCCGGTAACATCCAGTTATGCCTATTTTGCTCTTTAGTACTAGGAATAAAACCCAAGGGCACCTTGCCATGGAGCTATATTACCAGTACTTTATATTTGGAGACAAAAGTCTCATTAAGTGGTTCAGATTGAACTCAAACTGGAGATCCTCACCAAATTGGTCATGCCTGCTATCTTAACTATACATCCTTGACTTCTTTGTTTCCTCATCTTTTGTGTTTTGTTTTGTTTCCCTTAACAGTAGCCTATGCACCCAGCTTGCTAAAGGAAAATTAAGCTCCAAGGGAAAAAGTGGGTGGTTTTGTTGTGATTTTGCATAGGATGGATACACAAGGCATGCATGGATTGGCAGGAAAGTGTGCATCTAGTTGACAAAAAGGAGTAATCTCCTTTCATGGAGTTTCAGGTTCTTTCTTCTCAGTTGGTAGTTTCTACATCCTGGTAGAGAAAAAAAAAACAAAACAAACAAACAAAAAAAAAAAAAAAACAAAAAAATAACCACTCAGGGATGCTTTCATCCCTCTGATGACTCTGGCTTTACTTGGTTTCACTTTGCAAATGAACTTAATCATTCCAGTTCTGAGACTTTTCTGAAAAATGTGAGTTTGGTCTCTCAGAGTTCTTTGCTCATAATGTCTGTATCAGCTTCCCCTCACAAGGTTATCTCCACTTGTTCCAACATTTACATCTCTAGGCAACAATTAAACCCTCTTCCTGGTGATTCTTAGTTTTACTTGATGGTGGTGACACCACTCACCTTGTCAAAGTTGTTTACCAGATAAATTTTGCATTCTCTTCCTCGATCCATCTCCAAAACTTCTATTTAATTCTCTCTTAAAGTACAAATTTTCTAGGGTGTGAATGATATCCTATAAACTACCAAATTACCTAAGAAAATCCACCCAAGCTTGGTTATATGAGAGGTTATACTAATATTTCCAACAGTACCTGAATGTCCAACCCCAGTTTCCTCACATGCCCAAAACTGGGATTCTACCAAAATAGTGGTTCTGAAATTCTTCTCCAATCTGGCATCTTCAGCTTCAAAGAGGTAGCTCAGCACAGAAGTGGTCTCACGAAGACAGATGGGAAGTAAAGGGCAATGTATTTCCTGGGATGGACCAGAACCTTGGCAAAGAAAACAGGTACTGTGTGTTGAATTCAACAGGACCCATGAGTGGGAGCTGGAATGTGGTCAGGTCAACCACGTGAACAGACCATGGGAGATCATCCCTGAAAACCATGGGACAGGAATCTTCCTTACTTGGGTCCTATCATCATCTTCAGAAACGCAGCTTTACTGTATCATGACTGTAACTGACCTGTTCAATCTTGCTAGAGACCAGAGCACAGTATTTCCACACCGTCCATGTAGTCTGGCTCTTCTTTGATAACTGTGCTGTGGTGAAAAGTGTACCTCCCACAACATCACCGTGTCTAGCACTGTAAGACTTCTGGTTCCCTGAAAAGTAAAGAAGAACAAGAAAGGAAACCATTTTGGATTGACTGGGGGCATTGAGGCAGCCACAACAGGGTGACTAAAGATCTTGGGGAAAGAGAACATCCAGAACTGTTTCAGAAAGTGCTAAGAACACTGGAATACATGTGTGTGTTCAAAGAGAGGAGAGGTATGCCGAGGAGGAATAATGGTGATGAGCTGTTTGCTGTAACAATTTTGTGATATACAGACTTACTGGACTGTTATCATATCCTGTGTAAGGAAGATTGGCTTCCTTAATATGGGTGGTCCACAACCAATGGGTTGAATAGAATACAAATAAAAGGAAATTCCTTTTGCCTCACTGCTTTGAGGTGGGCCATGGCCATATTCCAGCTTTGAACTTGAACTGAAACATCAGTCCCTCTGGTCTCAGGGCTGCTCACTTACCCCATTGTCTTTTCTGCATCGAGGCTGTCAGATTCAGGCAAAAGTGCATTTTGGCTCTCGTATGTCTCCAGCTTGCCAGATGTAGACTTTGGGATTTCTTTGTCTCAATTATTTTGTGAGCTAATTCCTTTCAATAAATTATATGTCCTGTTGGTTGTCTTTCTCTGGAAAATTTTGATTAATACAGGGACTTTTAATTAATTAATTAATTAAAATTTTGATTAATACAGGGAGATGTACTAAAATAAGAGAAGGGTCCATTAAATAAGCTTGGGTCTTGCTAGTAACTTTATAAGAAGGAAAAGTGGCAACACATAGTATCTCAGGAGAAGGCCGCTGATGGCAGAGGCATTCTACAATGAAGCCACAGCAGGACAAGCAATGCCAAGGGCAACCAGCAGTCAGTCGATGCTGAGAGGCAGCTGTGAAGCAGATTGTCCCTCAGAGTCCCTAAAAGAAACTAACCTCGAAGGTAGATGGAACTCAGACTTCTGATCTCCAGGACTGTGAGGGAATCAATTTTCATTCACTGAGGTCCATCGTACTCCTGTAGGAATCCCTAGCATCAAGGACTCGACACAACAAAACCTGGTGAGGATGTGAGGAGAAGGAGCCCTTCTATGCTGTTGGGAATGCAAACTAAAACTAGAAATTCCTTTTGATCCCGCTGTAGCCCTTCTGGGTATTTTCCCCAGGGAGTTAAAGTCATCATATTATAGTGATCCATGCTCACCCATGTTTATCGCAGCACCAACTATGGAAGTGGCACGTGTGTGCATCAACAGGTGAGTGAATGAAGCAATGCAGTGCTACTCAATCATCAAGAAGGACAAATTTAAGTCATTTGTAGGAAAATGAATGAATCTTGAGACTATAGTGCTAAATGGAATAAATCAGACAAAGAAGTTTAAATCTTGCATGGTTTTTCTAATAGGAGAGGCACAAATATAAATAATTTAGAGAATAAAGTAAGGGAGAGGTGGGAAGAAGCCGGGAGGTAGATGCGTTGGAAATGGAAATGAGATCTTGGGAAGGGAGGACAATGAAGTGAAGGAGGGGAAGAGGAGCGCTACAAATCAAGATGCAATAGGTGTTCATGCCAGTTCCCCAAAGTGAGTATGATTACTATGTATTACAAACCTGTACCAATAAAAATAAATCGATTTCTGTGATTTTAAACCACCTAGTTTGTGGCACTTTGTTACAACAGCCTTGAGAAATGACTACAACCTCTCACTTGATGCCCTGCTTCCCTCTGAGCAGTCCCTCTCCACTCTCTGCTGCCCCCCAGGACAGGGTGCTGAGGTGCTGACCCTCAGTGAACTTGTATTGAAGACATCACTTCGTGTTCCAGCAGTGAGCTTGAGGCCTCACAATCTGCCTTCTCGGCTGCCAGATGATTCCATGCCTGTATCTCAAGAGTGCCTGTGTGAAGGGCGTTACACTTGTGATCTCCAGGGCCCAGTCAAGGCCTTCCCATTCTTTCACCATTGCCATCAGTGGTCACTGATTCCCACCTGCTATTGCTGTCCTGCCCTGTGCCTAAAGCAGCCATCTGTCTGGCCACCACAGAGTCTATGTACTCCAGGTCCTGTGTTGGAGCATGGTCTGACCGTGATTGGAATCCGATTAGAATCCGATTGGAATCAAAATGATTCCAGTCTATCTTACACCCCATCACAGTGGGATAACTTTTCATGCCCAATGGTGTTAACTGGTGAGGGAGGTCAGGATTTAAATCTTCTTGAACTTGTCATTCACCTAGAAGGTGCTGTTTGACTTCTGGTTCCTGCTTCTCTCCA